GTTTCCAAGTGCTGGGATCACAGGTATACACCATCTCACCCAGCTCTCGCTGACGTCTTTCAATATTGTATTTCTCAACTTCCTTCTGGAGGCATTACGTGGTCCAGTGGTTAGATTCACAGACTTGGAATTCTAACTCTCTTGAGTTCAAGTCCTATTCTGGCCACTTTGTACTTATGTGACCTTGGATATGTTCCACATAGCCAAAGCATCCTTTAACATATGTGTGGCGTATGGCACAGGCTAAGGAGTATGTCAAGGGCTCAGTACCTAGTGTTTCTCATGCTTAGGTCTGCGGCAGGGTGGGAGAGGTGGTTTTCTTGACACTGCTTTGGTGCAGATAGAAAGCCAAGACACAGTGAGGTTGAAGTTGCCTCAAGTCTGGATTCAGTGAGTAAGAGGCTTCCCTCTTGGACCGAGGGTCTGGACTCTGGAGACCTGGCTCTCACCTACAACGCTTAGGTTAATCTCTTGTAGCACCACAGCCCCCATACAGAAAAGGACGACTAGCTGACACCTGCTTCTGCAATCATAGATAGTGAGCACATGCGTGAAAATTGCTTGATGCCAGCCCTTGAATACAGCATGAGCTTAGCTGCTGCTGCTGGTGACTGAGATACACAGCTGCTTCCCAGGGCACGTGCCTCATGAGTCCAGGAGCTTCACTGCCATGGATTGCAGCACAGCCCTCTGGGACCTTGTGCTCTCTCTGGGATGATTGGTGCCCCTGCGGTTGGACCACATAAGAGCAGACATGCATCACTCCGGACAGTCCAGAAAGGGTCAAGGTTTACCATGGCAACCCAGGAGAGAGAGACCGAACCCTGGACCAGGCCAGTGACCATAGCATGAAGGCAAAGGGAACTGATGCAGTGAGAGTTTATTAGCTATGAGTATGTGTCTGCAAGACCTGCCAGACTTAGGCCATATCAGTGGTCCCAGAAGGAAAGTAAGCCAGTTGGCAATGAGAGGCAGGCTGCTTGTGTTACTATGGGGACATAGTGTGAAAAGAAGGTATGAGACTCCTTGTTTAATAATATTAGACCTCCAGTGCTGTGGAGAGAGGTCAATGGTTAAGCACTTGCCATGAAAGCGAGGAGAACAGAGCCTCAAAACCCATGTAAATGCCAGATGGGCAAGAAGCCTCCCAATAATGCCGGCTTCAGAAGGTAGAGACAGGATCCCCACAGCAAGCTGGCTAGCAAGACTAGCCATATCCGTAAGCTCTGGGTTTGATTGAGAGATCTTGCTTCAATGAATAAGGTGGAAAAGCTTTTGAGGATGACTCCTGACATCAGCTTTAAACTTCCACATGCATGCACACACATACAAAACATACATATGTCTCTCTCTCTCTCTCTCTCTCTCTCTCTCTCTCTCTCTCTCTCATACACACACACACACACACACACACACACACACACACACACACACACACACACACACACAAATGGAGAAAGAAAAACTAATATCCAAATTTCCAAGATAGCAGCAGTTCCCAGGCACAGGGCCTATGCACCTGCCTGGGTCACGTGATTGTCAGTAGCTGGCCCTGCCTCTGTAGTACTGTCCCATCCCACCCCGAACCCCATGAGCTAGGTACAGACAAATAGTGGCACCAGGAGCCAACCCACAAGCTTCGGTTCATCTTCTCGTTGTATGTAGGAACGGGATTGGAAGACCCATCTGTATCAGGTAGAAAAAGATGGATTCTAGCAGGAGTGATGCAGAGAAGATAAATCCTTAACCCAAATGAACTGTGATTAACTGCAAATGCTGGGGGGTGCTTCGGGAGAGCCAGGGTGGGTAAATTGAATTCATGGAGAAGCATCTAACAGAGCATTCCAGAACAGGCTCTGTCTGGAAGATTGATGGGGTATCAATGCTTCTAAGAGTTTCTTTCCCTGCATTGGACTGGTGAGTGATGAGTCAAGAGTGACAGGTACCTGTCCATATGAATAAAAGATGCAGGGGGACCCAGTAGGGCCCAGCACATCGTGCATCAGAGAGCCCCCCTCCAACTCACAGTCCAGAGGCCTGGCCAGTGCTACTGCACCATAGATACTGCCCACCAATAGAAGCTGCTTTTCTTCTATAACTCCGTCTACTCTATGGCACAGGGGCACCTCAGGATGTCACCTAAGGGACTGCTGCTGTCTGAGGTTCTCGGACAAGCACTTGTGTCTGTGATATCCTGAGTGTACAACATCAGAATCCCTGGGCTCAGAATTTCTGCAGAGTTACTTTACAAATGCTGCCATATCACCTGGGTAGATCATTGAGAACATTCCATGGTGCCGTCATGGCTATGTGGGACTGAACTGAATCTTTTCCAGCAAAATCCTGGAGGACACCAGGCATATTAATTTTGAAATGAGGATAAGGAGGATGAAGGCTTTGCTCAGTGATAAAGCATTTGGCTCCTGGCTAGAAGCCCTGTGCTCCATCTCCCTTACATGCCCCCAAGAAGTAATTTGACTAATTAGTTATTTTTTAAGATGTATTTTTAATTTTAATTATGTACACACATGTGGCTGTGTGCAAGTGATTACAAGTGCCTACAAATGCCAGAGGAGGAATCAGCTCCCCTGGAGCTGGAGTTACAGGTGGTTTTGAGTCACCTGACATGAGCGCTGGGAATCAAACTCAGGTCCTCTGCAAGAGCAGCAAGTGCTCTTAACTGCTGAGCCATCTCTCCGGCCCCTTGATTTTAAGCAGAGATGGGGCCTTATATGTGAGGAGCATTCACTCATTCACTCCTTCACCCATCATTCATTCCCCCATCTGGCACTAGTAGAGTGTCTTTCAGGGACATGCCTACCAAAGCTGGGACTGTGGGCACAGGAAGGAGGGTACTGGGAAGCTGACAGACAGGATTGTGGGATGCAATCCAAAAACAAACCTTACCTCCTCACGATGTAAGACCGGAACCACCCTAGAGGCAGGAAAGGACACAGGACAACTGGCTCAGTCACTTCACAAAGATGTCCATTGCGGTAAAACAAATCCACCCTGCTCCTAATGGTTAATGGGCAAGGTGCTGCTTGCCTTTTCAGACCTACTTTGGCCCTCCACAGCCCCTTGTGGCCGTGAGTTAAAACGCCGTCTGTTTAGACCTTGGAGCTTCCTTGCTGACTAGTCTTCTCCTTGGACGTTGCTCAGCAGCACATCCACCTAGCAAGGATGCCAGCCATCCTTCAAGTCCATCTCAGGGACTTGGGACGTCACCAGGCTGGTGGAGTGCTTGCCTAAAGCACAAAGCCCTGGGCTTGATCCCCAGCCCTGGATTCACTGAGCATAGTGACACACGCCTGTAGTATCAGCACTCAGAAGGTGGAGGCAGGAGGATTAGGAACCTAAGGTCATCTTTGGCTACATAACATGTTCAAGGCCAGCCTGGCACACATGAAACTGTCTCAGAAAGAAAGAGAGAGAGAGAGAGAGAGAGAGAAAGAGAGAGAAAGAGAGAGAGAGGGAGGGAGGGAGAGAGAGAGAGAGGGAGGGAGGGAGGGAGGGAGGGAGGGAGGGAGGGAGGGAGGGAGGAAGGAAGGAAGGAAGGAAGGAAGGAAGGAAGGAAGGAAGGAAGGAAGGGAGAGAGGGGTGGGGAGAGAGGGAGAGAAGGAGAGAAGAAGAAAAGAGGTAACAAGAGGGGAAAGATAAAAGAGAGAAGAGTGGAGAGAGGTCTGTCATGGACTCAAGTTCTCCTTGAGTCCTGGTTTCTTGTCCTCTGACCTATGACCTGTGGCCTTTGCCCTACTTGAGTCTTCCTGAAACTAAACTTCATGTGCCTCACACTGCCTGAGATATGTCCCACCCCATGCTCACATTTTCTGCTCTCTCGGCTTCCAGTTCTCACTCTGAAGGCACACTCTTGTCTCCTCTGCTGTGACCACAGAGAGCCAGCCAGTATCTGGCATGAGGCCATCCTGCTCATGCAATGGCGGTTAATGCCGGGGCAGGAGCTCCGGGTAGCCAGCGGATGGCTGCCATTTTCCTTTGATTGGTTTCTGATCTTTGCAGAATTACCACCTCATTCGTCTGTCAGCAAACCTCGTTTTGAAGTATGACATTCATGGTTTTAGTAGATCCACACAGCGTCAACTGTCCCTATCTAGCCAGCAGCCCCTAAAACACAAAGGGCCTTGTTGTTCCCTGAAAGTCCTTTGCCTGATTCTCACGAGGATGACCAAATCCTTCACAGCCTCACCTCCCCACTTGGAGGAGCCACTGGTTCCAGAAGTTTCTAGGGCAGGAAGGAAGGCTGGGCCTTGCTCACGTGGCTTTCCCTGCAAGGGACCCCCTCTGTTTCATGACCCTTCCTCTCTTGCCCCTGTGGTTCTAGAGAACGGAGCCTCAAGCAGCCTTGAGAGTCTCAGAGGCATCCAGGCCGGCCCTCCTTGAACTCCATCTGGTCTCCGCTAATCTGATGGGCAGCTTTGTGCCTGCTGACTGGGGAGCCAGGGAGGGGCCCTTGGAGGACAGCGCAGTCCCGGATTCCTCCCCATTGGAATCAAACCTCTCTGCTTGCTCCCCCTCAGTTCTCAGTCCCAGACTGTCACTCTACCTAGTCACTGCTCTCCCCATGCTTGCCTATTCGCATGTTTGTGCCCATTCCAAATGTCAACCCCCTACCCCAGCTCTCTAGAGCATGGTAGACCCCATGTGACTTCTAAACCCATGTCTCCCCAGCTGGTAGAGAAATGGCACCCTGGCCCAGGGACCAGCTTCTGCTTGCCCTGTTACCCTTGCCCTTGCCCACAGAGCACCTGGTAACACATACCTGGGTAGCCCCTAGAGACAGTGAGTGCAAAAGAGCCCCCCCCCCAAAAAAACAGGAGTGGTTATGATTCAGGAAGCTTACAGAATGGAAGGCGAATTGCTGGATCTCATTATTTATTATTATTATTATTATTATTATTATTATTATTATTATTATTATACTGTTGTTGTTTCGAGACAGGGTTTCTCTGTGTAGCCTTGGCTGTCCTGGAACTAGCTTTGTAGACCAGGCTGGCCTCAAATTCACGGAGATCCGCCTGGGATTAAAGGCGCGCACCACCACTGCCTGGCTGGATCTCTCTGTTATCTGTTCCTCTCCTGAATGTGGCCACACTGAATAAACCTCCTTTCCCTGCTTTTCACTATGACTTGTGCCTTTAATTGGCCTGCAGGGGACAGGTGGCCAGACCTAGCTAGCTAGGACTGCCAGGGTGCACGCTTTGACCCTGTCGGCTCTGCTAACAGTGAAGGAAGGACGGAGAGCCAGGATCTGCCTCGACGTCTTCGACCCAGCTCTCCCACCTGTTTTAGCTGTGTGGCCTGGGACCACTTACTTAGCTCCTCTCTGCATTTCTGTGCTTGGCTACAAACCAGAGATGAGACTACTGGGAGGACCCAGTTCCAGCCATTGTGAAGACTTAAAGTGCTGAATACTGAGTGCTGAACAGTGCTGGGGTGCAGAGTAAGTCTCCCCAAATCCTTTGCTTTGTTCTTCCTCTTTCCCCTGCTGTCTATGGCTAAAGACTCATCTGTACTTGATGTCCACGGAAGTGTCCTCTGGGTGGCCCTCTGGCAAGTGATTCCCCCCCCACCCCGGCCCAGGCTGCCTCTCCTCCATCACCAGCACCCTGTGAACCCACACGGCCCGCACTCCACCTGAGGAAATTAAAAACGAGATTGGTTTTCTCTGTGTAATCAAACATCGTGCCTTGGGCCTGACCTTTTGTTCACAAGTCATTATATCAGTGGCATTTGCCGAACCTCACCCAGGCCTCCACTGTTCTCTGCCCGGTCCCTAGGACACAGCCTGGCATGGAGGGCCATCCTAGACTCACTCTCCGGCAGGCTACTTGAGGCGCCCTGCTGTCTGGGGTCAGCCAGGGGTCCTCATGTCACAGGATCCTGTGGGGAGGGAGGGGCCGCAGGGATTCTAGCTTTCTCCAGAACCAGAGTGCAACAGAACCTCAGCAGCTGTCAGTGGACTCTCCGCAGGCCCTCTGGTCTCCCTGCTGTTCCTCTGTCCACAGTTGCTTCCATGTTTGGGTCCTCTCTCCACCCCGTGGGGAGACCCCCTTCCCAACGAACCCCCTCCTTCTCTCCTGGATCCACCTCTTCTCCCCCCACCCCGACCCCTCAGCACAGGGGAAATGCCAGGCAGGCTCCTTCCCAGCATTCAGCTGGTGCTGGCCCAGGCCCCTTCTCTCTTTGGAGGCCTGTAGTGCCCGACACCCCAGTACCACACACCTGCAAACAAGCCTCCAAAAGCCTTAGTCCAGGACAGCCCTGCCTGCCTCAGATACCCTACCCCCAACCTGTGTTTTCCCATCCAGAGGTCAGGCTTCTGCACAGATTAGCCTCTCACTCACTATGTAGCTGAGGTTAACCTTGAACTTCCAGTCCTCCTGCCTCAATTCCCCTCAAATGTTGGAATGACAGGGGTGTACAACCATGCAGTGCAGGAGATAGACCCAGGGCCCCGTGCATGCTAGACAAGCATCTACCTGCTGAGCTGCAACCCCTACCCCAGGCCCCTGCTTTCAGACTTCAGGCTGCCTCTGAGTGAGACCATGTGTGGTATCTTTGTCCCAACTTCGGATAGCCTGTAACAGACCTGTCTCCCCCTGCCTGGATGTGAGCTCTGCAGATGTGGGACCTTGTCTTGACAGATGTTCTCCCAGTACCTAGAACAGAGCCTGGCACACACAGTGGGTGTATGCTAAACTTTTGGGGGACTCGCTGACCCTTGGACAGCCCTGAATCTACAGGAGAGGGCAGCGTGCATTTCTGCTACACCAAACCCTCTGTTGGGCTCTGCTAGACATGTGAGCATGTCTTGGGGAATGACTGTCCATCATTCTTGAGTGTGATGACACGGAAGCTGCTTCACGGGTGTTCACTGGCGGAACTGGCCTTGGCACCTCATTCATGTAGTCCTCAGCCCAGGAAAACAATCAAGAAAGATCTGAACTAAACCAAGGAAGAAGGAGGCCGAAAGAGACTGCTCTCACCCCCAACTCCAGCCACCCCCCAAATAAGACTGAGGTCAAGAGAGGAAACACCTAAGTCAGCTCCACACACAGCTGCCCTGTCAGGAGCCAGACAACAGGATTCTGGGCTTAAACATAGTGCCATGGGCCAAGAGGTTGGGTGGACCACATGGCAGCCACTTGGGTAACACATGCAGGCGATGAGGAGGAGTGTCTCTGGCCTCTGCTGAATTATTTTACCCAAGAAGCACTAAAGGGTGGTGGGGGCTGCTGGATGCTGAGAGCCATTCCCAGAGACAGGACTCCAAGGAAAGTGAGAGGTGAGAGGACCGGGGAGTCTCCTCTCAGAGCCAAGCATGTGAAGCGGTGGCTGATGACAGAGACTGCAACATACTGAGCCAAGAAAAGTGGGCAACCAAGCGTGGTGACGCATGCCTGGAACCCCACACTCCAGAGTCAATGCAGGAGGACCAGTGAGAGTTGAAGGTCAGCCTGGGCTGCATAGTAAGACTCCCATCACATGAGGATGGGAGGGGGCAGACGTGCTTTCTGCCCCTGCCTGTTGGCTGAATTCTGCAAAGAGAAGTTCTGCTCTTCCAAGGCAGGGTGTCAGCCCCAGGGTCAGAAAGATCTGGATCCAGATTCTGGCTCCATTTCTGACGAAGTCACTCACTGTAGAACATTTTAGCCTTTGAAAATGTACCCCATGTCTGATGATATCACCATAAATGCTGATTCACATGACCCCATGACATCATGGCTGTCTTATTTTGTGTCTAATATTTGCACACACAAAAAAAAAACAAAAACAAAACAAAAACAAAAAACTCGCACACATAAATTTCCCAGAATGTATCCCTATCAGTAAGCAACACATGACTATAGTTAGGGATCCTGGATAAGTTACCGCTCCTGGCCTCAGTTTCCATATCTGTAAAATGGCCATTGTCATATTGAGCTGTGAAGACAATAAAACATGGGGGGGCAGTGCTGAGTTCATACCCTAAATCGATGCTGAGAAGGCACCAGTCACCACTATTCACTTATCAAAAACAAACAGTACCGGTGATAGGCCAAAAGACCTACTTAGCATGTCACAGGCATCGGGTCACCTCGTATACCAGGAGGGGGCATGATTATTTTCCACTCTATAAGTGAGAAAAGTGAGACACAGAGAAATTAAGAAAACTGTGCATGTCTCACAGCTCAAGAGCAGCAGACACAGGATTCAAACCCCTGTGTGCAGCTCTGTCTGTGCGTCCTCTGTCCTTGACGATTTGGGTTGCCTGCTCCATGCCTGGCCCTGAGACAGCAGAGCAGTCTGGGAAAGTAGAAGAAAGCATGGTCATTCCTTTACACAGCTTCTTAGTGGGGAGCTCATGTTACATGAAACCCTCTGACTGTAGAGTAGAAATTAATTAGGTAGCATGGCAACCAAACAACAAAGCCAGCCCGGAAATACCTCTTCTCTCTGGTCAACAGTCCTCAGAGGAAAGCTTAACTCCCTTAGTGAGGTCAGATGAATGGAGCCCCAGTAAGAGTAAGGAGCTGTTATTGAAGACCTCCGACACTTGGTGGGGCTGTTTGTTACTGCAGCATAACGTAGCCTACCCTGACCAATACACCCTCTTAATACTGAGCTCTGTCTAAGTATGCATCATGTGTTTGAAGAAAATGTGCAATAAATGTTTGTTGCGGTCAGACAACTTCCATCTGCTGACTCGCTTGAGGGCTGGGATGGCTGAAACGTTATTGTCAACCCTTCTGTCCACTCAGTCTGCCTCTTGGCTGCTGTGCAGTCGCTGTTCATGCTAGCCAGTGTGGGAAGCCCTCTTCGGCTGAGTGTGCAGCTCATAAACGATCAAACCCCAAAAACTGACGCAGTCCGCAATAAATGATTGGAAACATGCTCCCAGGGTTGAGGGTAACTTCCATTCCGTGTTTAGAGGGATCAGTCTGGTTGTTAAAATGATCAGAAGTGGCCGCTCCAGGGCTAGCTCTGCAATGGTGGGGTGTTATTACCTCCTACACCATTAGCTTAAGCGGATCAAGTTGGTGTCCTTAAAGCAACCATCCTCACTAAGGACGGGGCTCAGATTACAATGAACAAATGACTTGACTTTCATAAAGAAACCCCTGAGCTGGGCGGTGGTGGCACACGCCTTTAATCCCAGCACTCGGGAGGCAGAGCCAGGTGAATCTCTGTGAGTTCAAGGCCAGCCTGGTGTACAGAGTGAGATCCAGGACAGGCACCAAAACTACACAGAGAAACCTTGTCGCAAAAAAAAAAGAAAGAAAGAAAGAAAGAAAGAAAGAAACCCCTGAAAAACATTTTCTTTGAAAAATAGTAGTCTTGTTCATAATTATAACTTTTTTCTAAGATTTATCTATTTTATGTGTATATGAATGTTTTGACTGCATGTGCATCATATGCATGCAGTACCTAGGGAGACCTGAAGAGGGTGTCAGGTCTCCAGAAGTGGCTATAGATGCTTGTGAACCCCATGTGGGTGCTGGGAACAGAACTTGGGTTCTCTGGAAGAGCAACTGTGGTAGTTTGAATGTAATTGGCCCCCATACTCTCATAGGGAGTGGCACTATTAGGAGGTGTGGCTCAGCTGGAGTGGGTGTGGCCTTGTTGGAGGAAGTGTGTCACTGTGGGGTGGGCTTTGAGGTTTCCTATGCTCAGGATACCACTAAGTGTCTCGGTTGACTTCCTGTTGCCTGCAGGATATAGCACTCTCAACTCCAGCACCATGTCTGCCTAAACACCATGTGTTCCCAGTCATGATGATAGTGGACTGAACCTCTGAAACTGGAAGCTGCCCCCTCAATTAAATGTTTTTCTTCATAAGAGTTGCTGTGGTCATGGTGTCTCTTCACAGCAATAAAAAACCCTAACGAAGACAACAGCCATTGCTCTTAATTGCTGAGCCATCTCTCCAGTCCCAATTTTAACTTTTTTAAAAATATGCAGTTTAGCTTCAACTGTACTCAGTATTTTAAGGAAGCCTTGGAGAGTACAGTCAGAATTTGTTTCCCCATCTTGATATGATAATAGAAGAAGATTAGCTGGTAGATGTCCCCCAAAGACACTGTCAAATTTCTAAGGATTGAGAAGTCAGTGTCAGCTTGTCGATGGACATAGTGAGGCTGTGTGCGTGGGAACTCAGGCTGGGTATAGGAAAGCCCTCCCAGGATTGGGGCATATTGTGTCTAGGATGGAAGTTCAAAGCATGCCTCATGGGAAACAGTTGGGGACTGAGGTGGCCCAGAATCTCAACTCATAAGGATCCCAAAACCAGCCAGACAGATCTCCCAGGTTTATGATCACAAAACCAAGACCCGCAGACACCCCACCATCCTGCTACTGTATGTGGATCCACGAGTGTGAAAGCCTCAGTCTGCACAAACTTGGCCATGAATGTTCAAATAGCCAGAGGTGCTAGCAACTTAGATGCTCATCAATGGATGAATGCTCACAGGAAACAGTATTTCAGTCAATGAAGTATTGTTCTCCCATAGGAATGAATGAAAGGTTAACCCATGCTACCACATGGGATGAACTTGAAACACTGTATGGAAAATCTGTCACAGCACACAACTTGTGTGATTCCATTTACAAGCAATGCCTAGAGAGAAAAAGTAGATTGCTGGGGCCTGGGAGAAGAGGGAAGAAGAGGGACTAATGGGTAATTGCTGTTTTGAGCGGGGAGGGCAGGGTAGTGATTAAAATGTTGTGAGCAGACTAGGGATGTGGCTCAGTTGGTCAAGTGCTTGCCAGCATGCATAAGGCCCTCCAGCATCACATATGCCTGTAATCTTAGAACTCTAGAGGTAGAGATAGGAAGATCAAGCCCAGCCTCAGGTACATAACAAGTTCAAGGCTAGCCTGGGCTACGTGATACCTTGTCTCAAAATTAAAATTGAACTAGACATAGGTAGTGGTGATGTTTGTACACCTTAGTGAATATGTTGAAAACTTGTGAGTTATACATTTTAAAGGACAATCTTTTAATTATCACTCTGTTTTGGGTACGTGAGAGGATGCCCTACAGCGGCTGGAGGGGGCTGAGAGAGGCAGTCATTCCTCTGGTGGCTTGTTCCAGGGCTGTGGCTTTGAGAGTCATCCTGAGAGCCTGATTCATCATCTCTCCACATGATTGCAGAACCTTTTTCATATCCCATCATAAATACCTCCCTGCTCAAAGAGAGAGGAAGAGCCTGGGCTCAGAGCTGACTCTGGCCTGTGGTCTGGCAGTAAACTCAATATGTCTCAACCTCAACACTATTGACATTGGGAGTGGGATCATCCTTGGTCCCTCCTACCATATGCTAGGAGTCACCTATTTCTCCTGGAAATAACATCTCTAGACAGTCATTATTAATATCCTCTGAGCTGAAAAATCACCCCCAGATGGGAACCTTTGGTCTAGGGAATCATAGGCACAGAGGCTAAGGCACCTTAGAGGAGAGTCTGGCCTCCTTCCTTGACCACCTCTCCTGAGGTAGCACCCACCCGCCTACATCTCTCTCCTTCTGTATCTTGCTTAATTGTCTTTATGTTCTTCTGTCACCCTATGGTTTCCTTTAATCCTGTGAGGGGAGATGGCATATGTATGGGGTCAAAGGACGTTCTTGTGTGTTGGTCCCCTTCTGCTGTCTTATTTGAGACAGGGGCTCTTGTTCACTGCTTTATTTATATGCCAGGTTAGGTAGCCTGTAAGATTCTGGGATTTCTGTCTCCACCTCCCATAATGCTGCAGAAGATCTGGGATTACAGATGTGCATAGGCACAGCCAGCTTTACATGGGTTCTGGGGATTCAAACTCAAGTCGTCCTGCTTGCAGGCAAGAGCCTTACCCACTAAGACATCACTCTAGCCCTCTTGCTTTTCCTTCATGATCCTTCCCACTCCCTGGCCTTGTCTTAGATGGTCTGTTCGGTTATTACTGCCTATGCTTAGTCCCGGCTTATAAGTCTTTTTTGTGAGGGAGGGGTTCGAAGCAGGGTTTCTCTGTGTAGTTTTGGTGCCTGTCCTGGATCTTGCTCTGTAGACCAGGCTGGCTTCGAACTCACGGAGATCCACCTGGCTCTGCCTCCCAAGTGCTGGGATTAAAGGCATGCGCCATTGCTGCACGGCTCTTTCTTTTAAATCAAGAGCAGACCTGTCTTCCTCCTTGAAGTGTCACTGACCCCTGATCAGTGCATGGCACACAGTAAGACTTCAACTTATGCATGCTGGATAAATGCATTCGATGCAAGTGTGGTCCAGCCATTTAACATTGTAATATGACATTGTCATCCATTGTAGCTATAGTCACTGCTATCCTGGAATATCTGTGGCCTGTGCACTGCAAGTTGGACATGCCTGCTAAAGATGTCCCTTAGGGGTTCCCAGGGGAAGTGATTTAACAGGTACCCATTCTGCTCCAGATATCCAGATGGGCAGTTCCTGTTCTCAATCTCTTGAACTCAATGAAGAAGGAAGCTTGGGTGCAGCAAAGTCCAAGAGCAAGGCAGGATCCATCTTAGGGCTTCCTTGTCCCAAGCTAGATCCCCAGAACCCACGCAAAGCTGGCTGTGCCCATGCCCATCTGTAATCCCAGATCTCCTGGGGCATGATAGGAGGTGGAGACAGAATTCCCAGAATCTCACAGACTAGCTGACCTGGTATTTAAAGCAATGAACAAGAGCCCGTCTCAGACCATGTGCAAGGAGTGGACCAACACACAAGGGCTTGTGTGGGGGACATGAGCCTGCCCCTCCCCCAGGATTCAAGGATAGCTTAAAGAAGCTGGGACTACAGTGCACCCATTGCCCAGGAAAACTGACTCAGGAGGAACTTGGCCTCCACAGCTGAACCTGACAGTACAAGTCAGCCAGGGAGTCCTGGCACTCATCAGAGCATCTAGGCTGACTTGTCCCATCGAGGACCCAAGGCCTCCAAGATCCCAGGGAATTCCTATCTTTTCCACTCTGTAGAGCTATGAAGCAGCTGTTCTTTGGTGGTGGCCTCCAAACTATTTCTTCCTCTTTCCAGAAAGAAACCACAATCCCAGCCTCTCAACAGCCATCTCCCGCTCCCTGAGAGCAGCTACGGGAACCATGGCCCCCAGGAATTCCCCTGCCCTGGCTCTCCAGACAACTGTAAGAAAACTCAAGAACTGAACAAGATTCTGGCGGCCTCCCTTCCCCACCCTCTGTGGCCACAATCAGGGATTCAGCTTTCTGTCCTGGCTCTTACGTGTTTACGCAACAGAGTTCATTGTTTCCAAATGTGTTGAACCTCTCTATAAATCAAGCCTCAGACTTTGACTCTCATTCCAGGGAAATTCACAAGATGACTCTACACAAATAAATCATAGGAGGGTGGGAATGTCAGAGAAGGAGTAAAACCATTCAGACTCATACCCTGGGAATGCAGCTTTCCCAACTACTTAGCGGTACCTGATACCAATGCCATGGCTTCTGCAAGACCCAACAGTGAACTGGTATTTTACACGACTCCACTTCAAAGCTTAGTTGGCTGATAAGAATTAATATTCAGTGCTTTGTGGCTCAATTTTCGTTTTTGTACAGTTTTTAATTTCCTTTCCTTGTTTATTTATCTTGCTGCTGAGGGTGGAACCCAGAGTCCTGCATATGTCAAGCTTACCCACTCTACCGCTGAGCAACACCCCCAGTCACATTACACACGATGGCATCAAATCTTCAACATCTTTTTTAAATGTCACCATGTTGAAGGCATGTTTTGCTTTTAGTGTTGGTTTGGGGGGGGGGTGTTGTGGTTTTGAGTCAGGGTCTCACTATTGAGTGACTGTATAAAGCGCTCATGAAGCCCTGAGGGTTGGACATGGGCCCAGCCATGTCAAGGACCCCAGTGCCTCAGACCCGTGGGAGTGGCAAGACCTTCCTTGAATGAGAGGCTGAGGCAACGGCAAAGCCCTCCCCTAGTCCAAGTACTAGTATCTACAAACAGTTGGCCAGGGTGTGGGGGCCAGCCAGGGATACACACGACCCTGTCCCAATATATATGTAGTTAGCAGAGATGCTGGGCTTTGTGAAATCTTCTCCATCTTCCCCTTGAAATGTTCAACCTTTCCTTGCGATACTCAGATGCCTTTGTTTGGAAGGTATTTGTCTCCTGGGGCCAGCCAGGCTCCACTGGCCACCTTGTATAACTTCACGGCTGGCATCCAGATTGCAGATGACCCAGTCTTGGAGAGCGGAGTCCATGCGAGGTTTCAATCCCCTTCAACCCTGAGGTGATTTCCTTGTGTGGTTCCTCAGTAACCGCCTGCCTCTGCCTTCCAAGTGCTAGGATTAAAGGTGTGAACCACCACTGCCCAGCCTGCACCTATTTCTTTACGCACAAGGCGCAACCCTGTCTCCAGCTGGCCCAGTGAAGGTACGCTGACATAAAAATACTTGACAAAGAGAAGGGAAGTTCAAGTTCAGGGACTGCCCCTCTGTTCCACCTCACATTCTTCGCCTGAGCCTGAGGTTTGCTCCGATGAAGTCTTAGCTGCCCGTGTAGACAGCCCAAGTTTGGCTTTCAGAGAGAAACGGAATGCTTTGGGAAATTCAAACCATCTTAGGAAACTCAAACACTGCCTTATTTTTAATGGCCTTGCTGGGCCTATTTCTGAAGGTACGCCCTGTTAGCAAAGCCAACCAACCATCCACATCAGCTTGCTGAGTCGGAAGGGCTGGTTCTTGGAGCTGACTCAGATCTGAGTTCTGGTTTGGATTTCTGCTGCTCAGTCTGAGAAAGTCCCGGAGGCCACTGAGACCTCCGACTCCTCATCCGTAGAATGGATGTGGGTGACTGAAGATGGCCACACACTCTTTGTTATTGTTCCCATGGAGAGGTAGACTGTTTCTCCCCTTGAAGCTAGATTAGCTTCACTGATGCTAGACATTGCATGGAACAGAAATGCATTCTGGGGCCTCAGACTCTGGGTTACCACACTGGAACTCAGGCACCAGGTTGGAAGGAAATCCCAGCCTACAGAGGACCACAGGGAAAGCGTCTCAGTGGACAGCCGGGTGACTGAGCTGTCTGGCAAGCGTGTCTTCCAGCCACCATGTGTAGCTATGACAGGCCATCCCCACCCACCTGTCCAGCTCAGCAGGCTTGAGAGCAAAATCAATCAGCAGTTGTTTGAGAGCTCTGGGGAGATAGATTCTGCATCGATGGCTCAGAGGTCGCAGGGCATAGAGGTCACAGGGCTCAGAGGTCATTAGGACCCACCCCGCTATGTGCATTGTACAAAGTGCATCACTAGCCCCTAGGAGCACACTTCATCTAGGCCCTTCAACCCTGACGGCCAGGGCATGTTTTCTCTGGAGCTGAGGCGACCATGTCCTGTGATAGCAAGAGAGCAAATGCCGCAATCCCGTCAATGGCTGTGTCTTCCCTGCTCCCCACTGCCAGCCTCTGCCAGGTCTTCAAACCACAGGAGACCAGCCTCCCTGTCCAGGAAGAGAAGCTGCGGACAATTGGACCAGCCTGGTCTGGTCAGGGGCAGAGTGTGAATACACTGTCAGTGGCCCTGGCTCCACAGGCTCCTGGTACCTGCTCCTTCTAAAGCCACTTGAATCCAGTAGACCACCAGGGGGTAAGGTGGGTACCTCGTGAGTCCTTCACACCCGGCAGTGAGCCCTGGACTGTCAGTTGCCTATGTCATATGTCAGCCTGTGAGTCAGGGACTGATAATGTGGGCCTGTTCAGACCCCTCCCCATGCATCAATAAAATCCCAGAGCAGTGTTCTGCAGGTCACTGGAAGGGTCACACAATGCAAGCCGAGGCCACAACAGTGGGTACCACAATCAGTGAAGTCCTCTACTTGAGCAGGAAGCCATTCTGGGTGCTAGACACTGTCCAAAACACCTCACAGGAACTGCTGTAGTCACCCAGAATAGAAGGGATTAAATGGGATGTGCCATATACCTGCACAGTCCTGCTTTCTACACCGTGGAACTTGTTCAAGGTATGCTTTCTTGGGGGAAAGGAGGTCAGGTACATTGTTGGGGGGGGTGCACATGTATCTATATGTACATGTATGTAGATGCCAGAGGTCAATCTCAGGTGTGTGGTTCCTCAGAAGCCGCCCACGTTGTTGGTAGGCTAGGCTGGCTGGCTAGTGAATGTCGGAGATCCTCCTGTCTCCAGCTCCCCAGCACTGGGATTACAAGCATGTGCCACCAAGTCCAGCTTTTCACATGAGTTCTAGGGGTCAGCATCAGGACCTTATGTTGGCATGTCAAGCACTTTACCACCTGAGCCAGCTCCCCAGCCCTCACCCCCAACCCCCGTTTGTAATATTCTTGACAATAATAGGAATGCTAGTCTTCCAACAAGTCTCTGGAATTAATCTTGGATTCTCTGTGATGGGGACAAAACTGGGGGCCCAGGAGGTTCTGAATTGATTGGAATGGGTTTGGGTGGTGTACAAATGCATGTGGGAACAAGAAAAGGAGTAATTTCCTGACTCTCAGGGACACAGAAACCGCTTCAGCCGTGTTACTGAAAGTAAATTGCAGACCCTGAACACATACTGGTCCCCTTCCTGGCTACAGAAGGGGCTAGCAGAACCTGGCAGTGGCATGTGTCATTCAAGGCAGACAGTGAAGCCTGAGCTTTGCTTCCTGCATGCCATGCAGGGCCCGAGAGTCTCCACTCAGCTCAACATCAGGCGGGAATGGGGACAGAGACAGTTACAGCTCTTGACACTGCTGTCCCCAGTCCTGACAGATAAGGGGCGTACCATCTAGAAGCTGTCAGCCTTGGAGCCTGTGAGCCCAGAGCCCAGAGTTTGGAGTGTCTGCCCTTCTGGAGAGGCTCTCAGAGGCATTTCTCATTCCAAAGTCAGGCACCTTAGCGAGACCAACATTGTAGAAGGCCAGAGTCTCTTGGAACCCTTGCTTCTGTGGGTTTGAGGAGGGCAGCCAGAGGCCAGGGTGACTTAGCCCACCTGCCTTCTTCCATGCCCTGCACCATGTTTTAGAAATCATTGCATGACAGACCCTCCACAAGGGGTCTGTCATCCTCTACAACTGTTAAATAACATTTCTTGGGGACACTTGAATAAGGCACCACCAACAAACCAAAGAAATGCTCATAACCAATTCTAGCTTCATCTAAGTGAATCAGTGGGTTTATGGGGGTTATGTACAGGAGCATATGTGACTCAAAATCAGCTGTGTCACCAAAGAGTCCACCCCAATATGAGAGGTGGATGATGGTTCATGAAAGCAACATCCCTACAGCTCCCTGCAAGACTCACAAGCAGCCTAGCTGATTAGCACCCACTCTCCCTTCAATATGGCACTGCTGATACAACCTCAGAGAGGAGCCTTGTAAATCCTCTAAGTTTCATGAGCTTCCTGAACCTTGTGAGTTTTGTTTACTTCCTAAGATTTGTGTGTTTCATTTACTGTCTTGATTCTTAGCTACTCTTCCTCCAGGAAGAAATGCTTATACACAGCAAATGCCATCACCAAGTCACCACTGGTATCTGGCCTAAAGCATCACATGCACATTGTGACCCAAGGTCTATGTGCAGGAGTCCTAGAGCCTCTTCTGGTCTCTGCTCAAGCTTGGTATCTAACTGTGGTCCTGGTATTGACCAGCCATATTCTCATCTGGAGGTGAGCTTGGGGAAGAGTTCCCTCAGTGTTCCTTCAAATTGTTACTAGAGTTCTCTGAATGGGGACCCTGTACTGTGCTCATTGTCATCTGGAGACCACACTCAAAGTCTAGAAGCTTCCCCAAGGACATCTTGTGAGTTTCCTGCACCCCTGCTGGCTTCAAGGAGCCAGAAAATAGAATAACTCCAGTTGTAGATACAAGACAGGACATGGATGCAAAGGTCAGCAGGGGATGGATGATGAGACCAGCAGCATGTGTAAACACTCAAATGCATACATAGACTATAGATGATACAAAGAGATACAGATAGTTAGGACTATCCATGAGATGACAGAGCCATGCTGTTATCTCAGTGCATGAATGGAGGTAAGCAGGTTACAGATTCAACCATGTTTATCTGGCTCCCCACCCTTATGAAGAAGCCACAGCACGGGATGTGACCCCAGGGGAAGCATATGGAGGCTGTTGGACTCCACTCATCCCCAGCACCTTGAGAGCTAAGTAGCAGCATTCCCACTTTCTAGATGCAAGACTGAGGTCTGGAGAGGCAACTTGCCCAAGCTACAGTGACTGGCCAGTGGCCAAGTTGGAGTCTTAGAGGCGCCTTCCTGCCTCTGAGTGGGTGCTACTACTGTCCCACTGGGGCAATGAGCCCCCAAGCCCTGACTAAGCTGTCTAAACACCCACTTGCTAATGCTGGCTGTTGATCCAGAAGCCCCAGCTCTCCTCTGTGATGGCACGCTTTGTACACACATGTAAAGGACTTGCTGAAAGTGTGTCTCACCTCCAACATCACTGTGATGAGCTTCAAGAAGGCAAGGGCTGACTCTGCTAAGGTGTGGCTGTTTCCATCTTGGGGTCTTGATCGAGTTTGTTTTTCTGCCAAGAAAAGAATTAAAAGGCAAGGAAAATATCAGGCATAACACACAGAAGTAGAGGACAAACATATTAAAATAAAGTGGACACATGTGTGTGCACATGTGTGCGTGTGCACATGAACACACACACACAGAACCAAGGCACACTGAACAGAGAGAGAGAGAGGGAGAGAGAGAGAGAGAGAGAGAGAGAGAGAGAGAGAGAGAGAGAGAGAGAGAGAGAGCGCCAAGGCACACTGAGAGAGAGACTCCCCGCAGAGTGAAGAGCAGATTCAGAAAATAAAATGTTTTTCTCCGAGGGCTGAGGGTTTTTAAGTGTTACTGGTGGCCTGGGATGGGTCCCTCCCCTCATTTCAGATTGGCCAGTTAGATGAAGCAAAGTACTCTGATTGACTTACAGCCCGTGTCCAGGACCTGTCCGGGCAGGTCAACTGAGGGAGCCATGGAGAGGGTAGAGAATCCTGCAAAGTCTTGTGTCTGGGTTAAGAGGTGGACAGAAGGACGCCATCTTGTTTGTTCATGGCATCCTTCCCTCTGTCAGGGTACTGTCTTCCCTCGTGGCCACAGCCCAATGATCAGACAGGTTTGGGATCCATAGTGACTACCCTGTAAAACAGCCACACTGTTGAGCATGGTGGGACATGTCTGTCATCCCAGGACTCCAGAGGCTGAGGTAAGAGGATCCTGAGTTTGACGCCAGCCAGGTCTACAGAACATGGCTTCAGAAATCAAAATGGCAACAAGTTATATGAATATCCAACCGAGTTCCTCCATCTGGGCTGCACGCCACAGATGCAGTGATGTCTCAGATGATTTTGTCTTCTCCCCCACACAATACAGACACAAAACAGTGTGTTATGACACGATGTGTCTCCAGCCACCTTCGCAGGCCTGCTCTCTCTTTTGGTCCCAGGCTCTGAAACACTGGCCACCGCATGCGCGGTGGGTGTTCAGTGATAACTGCAGAGGCTGGTCTTGTTTGCTGCCATGCCTTTCTCTCTTCTCTCTGCATATGAAAGAAAATATAATATTAGCAAACAAGGCTGGGGAGAGGGCTCAGTCAATAAAGTGCTTGAGGACCTGAGTTCTGATCACCAGCACCCATGTAAAAAACTGGGCATGGTGGCACACACACCTGTTATCCCAGAGACAGGCAGATCCCAAGGCCTTGCTGGGCAGCCAGGCTGGCTGTTTCTGTGAGTTCCGGCCCTCTCTCAAAATATAGGTGGAGAACCATCAAACAAAACAGTTGATGTCCATTTCTGGCTGCCCCATACACATGCATGTAGACATGTGCGCACAGAACATCTACACACCACACACACACACACACACACACACACACACACACACACACACACACACACAATCAGCAAACAGTAATTGGCCAGGAGGTTCCCAAGGAAATTGGAGAAACATCATGGCCTCCACGCCTGGCTGCAGAGGCCCCAGACACGGGCTTGAAGGCCTGGCGCCTCTCCTTAGAACAGAACTTCGCATTTCTAAATCGGAGGAAAGGAAGGCTGTAATTATTAAAATTGTGTATATAGAAGAATTTAGCCTTTCATTGAAGGTGTCCTGATGACCCTTGAACAACTGCTCGGGAAGATAATAGGGCTTAGAGCAATTATGCCGCCCGTCAAATCGCGGGCATGAATGATCCTGTCCGTGCTCTGAGCTGGAACGGCTCTCCGTGTTGCTCATGCACAGCTGTTTCATTTTAAATATCTTGGCAGAGAGCTGCTGAAGGGGATGTGTGGGCCAGCCTGGCTGCCGGAGCTTAACTTCTCTTCCTGTGCCTCTGTCCTCCTGATTTCATTGCTGTGTAGAGAAGTCTTTGAGCATTATGTTTGGGTGTTCAAACTCAGCCTCGTGGTAAAAATCAATCTCTCTCTCTCTCTCCCTCCCTCCCTCCCTCCCTCCTTATCTTACATTTACTTTTTTACTGAGACTTTGACAAATTGTACATGAAGCTGGGAAGATGGCTTCATGCTTGTTCCCCAAGCATGAAAACCACAGTTCAGGTCTCCAGAATCCACATCATCCCAGCAAGGGAAGTAGAGTCAGGCCATCCCTGGAACAAGCCCAAACAGTGAACTCTGGGTTCAGTAAGGACCCTGCCTTGATAATATAAGATGCAGCGTGATCAATGAAAATATTCATCATCAACCTCAGACCTTCATGGGCATTGGCACACGCATATACATACACACATATATATGTGTAAAGAAAAATTGTACATGTTAATGGCACACCACATGATGCTTGCTACCTACATGCATGTATAATTGTATGTGTATATATATAGTAATTGAGTTAAACATCTGTAGAGACTCAAATTTGTAGTATTTTTTTGTGGTGAGAACATTGTAGATCCTTTCCCCTAGCTTGCTGAGTTAACCCCATCACTATCTACTGCTATCCTCTACACTACATGCAGTAGCATACCAGTGACTTAGTGCCCATCAGGCATCTTTTCCCTGTCCCGCCCTCCCCCCAATGCTCCCCAGCCTCTAGTAACCACTATTCTTCTCTGAGACTCAATAACATCATCTTTCATATTGCACACCTGAAACCCTGTGACCCTTGTCTTTCTGTGCCTGGCTTATTTCACTTAACATAATGATCTGCAGTTCCATCCATGCTGTGGCATATGATAGAGTTTCATTTTTTTATGGCTGAATAGTCTTCTGTAGTGTAAATGTACCACAATCTTTTCTTTACTTATCCAGCAGCTAGGAAGATTTAAATTGTTCCCATGTCTTGTATTTTGTCTTTCAGTTTCATCAATGGGCAGCATCCAAGCTCAGCAGTAAGTCATACAGCATAGTATGTTCAGGGTCCTAACCAAGAACTGACTTGACACACCGGAGGAGTTGAGAGGAGTTCAATAGGAGAGTCGTTTACAGGGGCTTGGCTTGGATTGTGAGAAATGCAAAGGGATACTTTAGGCCCCCCCCGGGGGGGGCTGGGAGCTGCTACCTGCCTCCTCCCAGAGTCCCCAGGAAAATGCAGCAGTGGGAGAGGCGGGAGGACAGCCAGTGAGAGCAGCAACTTCAGGCCTAAGGCACTTGGCAGCAGCAAGGACATCCCATCTTCCCCCCAGCGAAGCTCAACACAACTAGAGGTCAAAGGTCAATGGGAAGAGGGACCACTGGTACATTCCTGGCAGGTGAGCCTCCTAGGACTCTGGGAAGGGCAGAGGAATCATAACAAGGCCAAACAGAAGCTATAGTATTCGGCATCACGGAAGTCTGAGAAGGTGGATTTATGCTCATAACTTCCCCTCTAGTTCAAACCAAAAACCTGGCAAGCAGCAATAGGGGGCTAACTTGACAATATGCAAGGGCTCATTAATCTACCCCAAATTATCAAAAGGTCATTGATGGAGGGCCGACTTGGAACCCAGAAGAAGCCACATCTTAATGCCTCTAAGTCACTGGAGTACCCCTGAATCAGTTAACTGTTCATGTCGGTTTGGCTGGGCTGTAGCACTGATGTCCCACCAGATGCTAGGCTAGCTATTGTACTGCGGGTATTTAGTGGGTGAGTTAACATCTACAATGTAGACTTAGGAGACCAGTCTTGAAGTGTGTGTGTGTGGGTGTGTGTGTGGGTGTGTGTGTGTGTGTGTATGTGTGTGTGTGTGTGTGTGTGTGTGTGTGTGTGTGTGTGTGTGTGTGTGTGTTGTCCAACCAGTTGAAGGCATTGATACTAAAAACTATTTTCTTGAAAAAGGAAATAATTGTGCCTCAAGGCTCTTATGTAAAAATTCTGCCTGAGTTCCCAGCCTTCCCTACAGGCTTCAGACCAACCAGTCCATATTCATGAAGCCTGTGCTTTAGAAATAAAAAGGTTGATCTATTGATCTGAGTACTCATCCATCATCCATCCATCCATCCATCCATCCCTCCATCCACCTACCCTCCCATATATTTATCTACTATCCATACATCTATTCTCCCATCCATTCACCATCCATCCTCCCATACTTAAAATCACACATCTATCCATCCATTCTCCTACCCATCTATCCATCCAGCTCACTCTCCCATCCATTCACCCATGTGTCCTCTCATACATGCACCCATGATACATGCTTCTGTTTTCCATCCACTTACACATCCATCATCCAGACAGCCTATACATTCTCCCATATATCCAAGTATTCATTCATTCATCTTCTCATCCATCATCCATCTGGCCACTCATCTGTTTATCCATTCTCTGATCCATCCAACTATCCATCCACCATTAATGTATCCATCTGTCCATCTGTCCGTCTGCCTCTCTCTCTCTCTCTCTCTCTCTCTCTCTCTCTCTCTCTCTCTCTCTCTCTCTCTCTCTCTCTCTCTCTGTGTGTGTGTGTGTGTGTGTGTGTGTGTGTGTGTGTGTGTGTGTCCTTTACCTTCATTCTAATCTGCTGCTGGGGATCCCCTGGAACTTGCAGACAGCTTTCTTGCCATTTCTCAGAGGTCCAGACTCAGGAGGATCCTGGGGCCCTTGAATATGCACTCCACCCAGCACACACAGGATGCTGCGGCAGCTGGTCCAGGAACCACATGGGATGGCGCTGGATCATCTGTTTTGCCTTCCACACCTAACTGTTTCCTCTCAGTGGCTTTTGGGGATTCTGAGGTTACTTAGCTAAGTCATTGCCTCTGCTCCCATCTGCCAGAACCAAGTGCCACATCATCTGGCTGTCACTAGAGCCCATATCCATCTGCCAGCCTGGAAGCAGCCGTGGCAAATGGAATGCATTCCGTGGGTTCCCATTAGCACCACAGCTGAGTTTGTTCTTGAAGCTGCAAATGCAGTTCTGGGCTGTCCACTGCCTGAGTGAATTTGCCGCATATTGAGGGAGCACAGGAATACCAAGTTGAGTACTCATTTTCAGCCCAGCAAGCTGGACATACTGGCCCAGTGTGGGCTCCGTAGTCTTTGAATGAAGGAAGATAGACTTTCAAAATGAAGAGAAGGGCTCCCTCGAAGGCGGCATCCCCACTGGAGCAAAGGCCAGAGTTAAGAAACATAGGAGCAGCGAAGGTTGGGTTCTGAGGAACAGTGATGGCCTGGCCTGATGGATTCAGGGATCACCAAGGAGGAACAGTGGGGTCGTCTATAACATCACCTGGAGAAGGGCTGAGGGATGGGGAAGAAGCCCTGAATAACCTAGACTCCACCGACATGCGCCGGGGACAGTGAGCTGGAGACAAAGGACCATGAGCTATCCCATGATGGATTGTGAAAGGAAATAAAAATGTGTGTGGGGTAGAAGAAGTAGCCAGCAAGATTCTGAGCTGTGTCTGACCATGTGAAGCCCTGAACGCCTCCACCAAGATCAGGGGTGGAGGTGACAGGTGAGCTATACAGCATCCTTAGAACCATCGCAGGCTTGGATATGTGCCCCAAGGAGTCACACATTGAAATCATGACCCCCTGACTCCACACACGCATCAGAATGTGGCTGAGCGTGGGGGTAGGATCTTTCAAGGTTGAAAATGAGGTCACTATAGGGGTTGTGATGGCTATTCTTGGTTGTCAACTTGACTACATTTGGAATTAACTAAAACCCAAATGGCTGGCTACACTTGTGAGGGATTTTATTTTTCTTAATTAAATCTAATCTGGATCTTTGAGGTGGGAAAATCCACCTTTAATCTGGGCCACACCTTCTGCTGGAAGCCTGCATAAAGAGTGGAAGAAGGATGCTTTCTCTCTCTCTCTCTCTCTCTCTCTCTCTCTCTCTCTCTCTCTCTCTCTCTCCTTGCTCTCACTCTTGCTAGCAAGTCCATTCCTTCACTGGCATTAAAACCTTCTTCTGCATGATTCTGGCATATACTGAAGACCAGATGAGACATCCAGCCTCATGGACTGAACAACTGTTGGAGTTTTGGATCTTCCGTTGACAGCCATTGTTGGACTAGCTGGACCTCAGCCTGTAAACCATTCTAATAAATTCCCTTTATTAATAATATATATTTTAGGTTCTGTTCCTCTCGAGGA